AGGGGTGACAACAGAAAGAGAAGACTCTTGACCTTTTTCAACCTCTAGCTACCAGGCCAAATGAACCCAGACTTCAGGATCCAGCGAAATGTAGATCTCAGTGTGTTTTTAATCTCAGGGAGGGAGAAAATGAGGTTCTAAAATCCCTTACTTTAGTACTACACCACCACAACAAACATCATAAATATTTGCAGAGTACCAATCATTTCTTAGGATAGCTCTCTAGAGTAGATATTATTATCTCCATTGAGCCAACTGTGGCTCAGGGAAGTTAAGTAGTTGCGCAGAATGATACCTTTTGACTCATCCACTAAGCTACCCCACCCCATACTCTACAGCACATTGTCCATTAGAATTTTCTGCAATGATGTAAATGTTCTACATCTGTGCTGGCCAACCTCTAGCCACAGGTAGCTATTGAGTACTTGAAATGTGTATAGTGCAACTCAGGAACTGAAAATTTTTTCCCATTATTTATTTATTTATGGCAGCGTTGGGTCTTCATTGCTGCACGTGGGCTCTCTCCGGTTGCAGCGAGTGGGGGCTACTCTTCGTTGCGGTACACGGGTTTCTCATTGCGGTGGCCCCTCCTGTTGCAGAGCATGGGCTCCAGGTGCGCAGGCTTCAGTAGTTGTGGCACGTGAGCTCAGCAGTTGCGGCTCACGGGCTCCAGAGCGCAGGCTCAGCAGTTATGGTGCACGGGCTCAGCCGCTCTGCAGCAAGTGGGATCTTCCTGGACCAGGGCTCGAATCTGTGTCCACTGCATTGGCAGGCAGATTTCCAACCACTGTACCACCAGGGAAGTCTGTGAATTTTTAATTTTATTCAATTTAAACATATGTTTAAATAACCGTATGGGGCTGGAGGTCACCATATTGGACACAAGTCCTAGAACATAAGATATTAAAAAACCTTTGCGGGGGGGAAAAAAAACCTTGGGGGAAAATTGAAATGTATATGAAGGATTCTCTGGCAGGAACTGGGTTCCTCTCTTTTGGTGGGTTTTGTACTTTCCGGTTAGGGTGATATAAAACTCCTCTAACCCCAGAATAGTTAGAAAAGCAACATCAACTCTAGATTCCAACTTGCAAAACAAGACAGAGCACTATGGGGAATAGGAGGCATTAGAAAGTTCCCAGAGAATCAGTGTCAGAATAAGTATACTTCCCAAGGATTCCAGAATGTCCTTAGCATTTCATTTACCCATGTTCTTTTTGTCTCTTTAACATACATAATTGCAAATCCAGGTACTTGAAAATAATCTAGGCTTAGCTCCAGGAGCTAGCTAGCCATTCATCAAACAAAACAGATGGAAAGTGGAGCTAAAGGGAAGTAAAAAATAGATATAGTTTGAAGCAAAGGAGTGAGGCAGAGTGCAGCCCTGGAGGAAGAGAAAACAAGAGGAACTGGAAGGCTGATCTTGATTTCAGCTCATTCTCTAAGGTAGAGGAAGGAGAATTCTTCCTTCTTTTACCCACCAGAAGTGAGAAAGTTGGCGTTTGACAAAATCGTTAAAACAAGGAGAGAAACACCAGACTGTGTGGTTATGGAGGCAGACAGTAGGGGTTGCTGGAGAAGAAGGTTTAGTTAGACTGGAACACTAGGTCATGAGTGGACTCAGACTTTCAGGTCAACTCCAGCTCCAGTTAAGTCTCCTGAAAATCACTTTAATCCCATGCCAAAACAAAAGCCAATTCTTAATAGTTCACAGACCAGGTCCTCTTAAACTAAGACAATGAGGTTGTTAGTTTTTCCCTGCAATATTGATCCATTCATCCATCCATCCATCCGTCCGTCTTCTTACACCAAGGACTCTTGACATCTACAAAATGCTTAACATTTTCCTTCGGTTTACATTGTCAATCTTTTCAGTTTAGCTGTTTTTCTGGCAATAGGCAGCTTGAATATGTGATTTTAAATTTTTTAGTGAAAAGAAACATTTTACAAAAGCTAAACTAAAAATGAAATTAACTAACTTGAAAAGTACTTAACAGAAGCTAAGTGGCATTTCTTTCATTAGATAGTTTGCAAACTTCTGGCTGAAAGCTTTTTTACTTCTTGATAATTAATCCTTCTCCAAATCTGTTGTTTATAAATTTTACTTCATCATACATATCTCTAAGGAAATGTTAGAAAACTAACATATTGTACTTTCCTCTGAACATTTCTTGGCATAGTTCACATGCCAGAAATAAACAGTGACAATCCCTAAAAGTAGCAAATACTTTAGTGTAAGGCCTTCCCAATGGCCATGTCTGAACTCCTTACCTTGGCTCCAAGATCAAGGACACTTGGCTCCACCCTCAATGCACACAATCTAGTCTTACCTCCCCTCCACCCCAGCCTACTAACTGATGTCTCTGAATTTACTCTTGCCTTCTGCAATCTGCTTCTCATGTGTCACACTCTATTTAAATCCCATTAATGGTCATATTACCCCTAGGGATAAAGACATTAATCCTCACTGTGATCCCTAAGGCCTGGAATGATTTGTCCCCTACCTACCTCTCTGACCTAACTGTACAATAGAAATAAGATGTGAGTAACAAATATGAGCCATATATAAGATTTTAAATTTCTAGTAGCCACATTAAAAAACAGAAACCAATGAAATTAATTTTATTAATATATTTTATTTAACCCCAAACCATATAAACTATTATCATTTCAACATATAATCAGTATTTTAAATAATGAGATAGTTTTATTTCTTCCCTTCCAATCTGGAAGTCTTTTACTTCATTTTTCTTGCCATATTGCACTGGCTAGAGACCCCAGAATGGTCTTCCTTACTTCTTTCCTGATCTTAAGAGGAAAGCATTCATATTACTAAGTTTAATGTTAGCTGTGTGTTTTTCATTGATGCCCTTTATCAGGTTGGGGAAGTTCCCTTCTCCCTACCTTCCAAGTTTGCTGACAGTTTGAAAAATCAGGACTGGATGTTGAATTTTGTCAAATGCTTTTTCTGCATCTACTGAAATGATCGTGTAGTTTTTCTTCTTTAGTACTGTACTTTAGTACTGTACTTTTTTTTCTTTAGTACTGTACTTTAGTACTGACGAATTACCTTGAATTTTGAATGTTGAACTAATCTTGTATTCTTGGAAAAGACCCATTTGGTCATGATGTATTTTCCTTTTTATATATTGTTGGATTTAACTGGCTAAAATTTTGTTGAAAAATTTTGCATCTATGTTCATGAAGGATATTGGTCTGTAGTTTTCTTGTAATGTCTTTGCTTAGTTTTGGGATCAAGATAATGAGGGCTTCATGGAATAAGTTAGACAGTACTCCCTCCTCTTCAATTTTCTGGAAGTTTGTGTACAATTGGTGTGATTTCTTCCTTAAATGTTTGGTAAAATAACCACTGCAGGCATCTGGGCCTGGTGTTTTCTTTATGAGAGAAATAAATGAGTTAACACGTGTGAAGTAACTAGAACTGTGCTTGGCTTGTCAGAGGTGCTGAATAAATGTTAGCTTTTAATTTTTTAGAATTCATCTATATTTTCAATTAAAGTAATAAATGGTTATTACAGAACTTAAAAATATTTTTAAATTTTAAGGAAGAAGAAATCAGAGTAATCCTACTAGCCAAAGGTCACTAGTATTAACATTTTAATGCATTCTTCAGTGTTTCCTACAGGTAATTCATGCTTGTTTATATTGTTATTGTTTATATTGCTCTGTGCCTACTTTATTCACTTAATATTCAATTATTAACATTTCCCAAGTCAGTAGAAGTTCTTAATAAATAAAATTTCAAAGGCTATACTATTACATGGTCATACCATAATTCACTTAACCATCATTTTGTATTTTTAGAATTGTTCTACTTTCCCTGCAGAGGAGATCCAAGTACCTCTTTCCTGCACTTTCATATATATTTATATAAACACTCGTATAAACTCTAGAATATTCCCTCCAGGCCTTCCCTCTATGGTGTGCTAATAACATACACTGATAACAGCTAATGTTCATTGTGTGTTTACTATGTGCCAGGCACTGTAAGAAGGGTTTTACATTAAAAGTAGGTACCATTATTATCATCCCTATTTTACAGATGAGGAAACTGAAGTACCAAGATGTCAAGCAACTTGCCCAAGGTCACCCAGATAGGGAATGGTAAAGACAAGAAGGTCTATCAGGTTTCGCAGCCCACATGACTAACCATTAGGCAACAGTGCCTCTCAGCTTATATCTATAGACTTCTTATATGAATTCCATTCCATACCTGAGTTGCTGATCCTGAGATATTGTTTGAGTTCTTGCCCAGCTCACTTGTCCCAAACATGTGTTCTCCACCTGGATTTGGGGTGCAGTTGCTAACAATTCCTTTACTTATTACCCGTTTCTTGCTCTTGTAGTTATTATAGTTCCTCCAGCCCGCCAGCTAGAACACCCATCATCCCAACCAGAAATTGGGACATATCATCTGATAAAAGGATTCTTTTTCCTACTTTGTAAATTTGTTTTTACCAAAAAAAAGATGTATTTTAAGTGAATCATTATACATTCAATAAAGAGACTTTATTGAAAAGAATTTAAAATAGAAGCTGCCCTAGAAAATGAAAGACACGCCAATAAAAAACAACAGGTTGTACACATTGGTAACAAAAATATACAGGTTGTTTAGAATCCTAAAACGGAAATAAGATAAAAGTATTTTCACTTCTCAACTGTAATCCTCATAAAAGGTGTTATCTCTGCCTTTGTCTAGGTTTATATTTTGTGTTGACAACTGCAGTATCATTTCAACAGCTTTTTCATGGCTATATTCTAGAAAATTAGGATAGAGAGACTTCATTACCAGAAAAGACTTTGTGTGTGTGTTCTGCTAAATTGAATTTTTCAATGAGTGTGGGATTTGTGTTTGCTTTTGTCATGTCTTTTAACTAAACAGAACACACTCAAGAGCAGCCCGAGCTAGAACTTTTCTCCAGTTGATTCCCTCTCTGTGGTGGTCTCTAATGAACTCTCCAAAGTTACTTCCCAGGAGGAAAATGGCGTTAGAATCCTCCTCCAACAAGAAGCCTCTGGGTCCAGCGTCTTTTCCACTTCCTCACCTGTCCTCAGGTACCCGCCTTGCTTTATCATATCCGTCTTGGATCTGCCAGGAGCCAGGCACCCCACTGTATGCAGATGAGATGGACCAGAATAGTCCCCGCCTCCTCAGCTCAACGTAAGTTTAAAGTAGCAGCGTCCTTCTCCAAGTTCTGTTTTTTCTTTTTCTGTCAGGTCCCTTTAATTATGCGCAGTTTAGACTCAGATGGGTCCCTGTAAGTGCAGCCATCAATCACAAATCACTAAAGACTCAGAGTGCCGACAGACGTGGTTGCAATCTGTCTCCATTTTTGGAGAGAAAACTAATTTCGTGAACTTCACAAAGTAAATGGGTCTAAACTTTTAAAATTAGAAAAATTATCCCCTCAAGTACCCTCGTCTGGGAAGTTTTAATAGCGGTAACCTCAAGCTCGCCCAACTACTTTCAACTCTTGTTCGAGTTGAATGAGAATCAAAAGAAAAAGGACCACTGGAGATCAGGAGAAAAACTGGAGGATGCGGGCATCGATCCCGCTACCTCTCGCATGCTAAGCGAGCGCTCTACCATTTGAGCTAATCCCCCACCGCTGGCCACGGCTGCTTATCTCTTCCTCTAGAGAGAGAACAGAGCCTTTAGAAGCGAAGATAAATATTCTTGACCACATTCTTGTCCCTGTTTCATGGTTAAGGCCAAAGTAACAACAACAACAAAAAAAAGCCTCTCTCCTTCGAGCCGGAATCGAACCAGCGACCTAAGGATGGCTATAGGACACCAATCTACAGTCCTCCGCTCTACCAGCTGAGCTATCGAAGGGAGTGAGGGAACAGGTCCTCAACCCATCTTCATAACTTTTAGTCATTTTTCTAGGCTTCGTGTGCTTTCTACCGCGTTGCCTTCGTGATTCCCAGGTTCCTTGGGCACGAGATCCTCCTTGCGGACCTCCCAGCTCCTCACGGCAGCCGCCCCGAGCGTTCGCATCGCCGACCTTGCATGGGCTCTGAGGACTAGGTCAGGGGCCTGGCCCCGGGGAGCCGGCCGTTGGCCCGGGACGCGGCTTAGCCGTGTCGGCACTCAGGGGTTCGGGAAACGCCAAAGACGCTTTAGAAACAAGCGAAGGCCGTGACCCGGCAGCCTCCCCGCTGAGCGCAGACTCAGTGCCCCGCTCGCTCAGAACTCGGACCGCATGTCCCCGTTTCCGGGATTCGCAAAAGATTCACACCGAGGAAGCTACGGGTTTGGACCTGTTGTTTGGAAAGTAATGTATTATCAGAGAAATCCTTATGCAGAAAGGACCATAAATCATAGGAAGCTCGACAAAAACGTCCTTGTCTCCTTCGAGCCGGAGTCGAACCAGCGACCTAAGGATGCCTCTTAAGGGTATTAACTACAGTCCTCCGCTCTACCAGCTGAGCTATCGAAGGGACGTGCAGAGCCCGTGCCCCCGCCCCCTGAGATTCAATACCTAGGAACCAGAGCGCGCTCAACCCTTACCCAGAGATGAAACTGAGCATGCGTAATGGAGAGAGTGGGGCGCGAAGGGAGTACGTGCCCGAATGTTGTTTTACGCGTGCGCAGAAAGACTAGCCGGCGGTGGCTCGCGGAGCCTGACTGCGGTAGGAGTGAGTTCCGAACTTTCGTGTCAAGACTCAAGACTCCTCCGCGTGTCTGTCGCACTTTTTCTTTACTCCCGGTGTTAGGGGAGTTACTGTCGGGTGTGGTTTCCCTATTCTGTAACCTTTATGTCTCCTCACCCCTCGTGTGAGGGGTCCGTGGTGCAGGGTGATGCGTCCGACTACGAATCAGAGGACCGTAGGTACGATTCCTTCCAGTCTTGGCGTTTTTGTCCCCTTAGTTTTCAAAATCAGAGACTTTTACTACTTTGGGGTTCTCCCAAGCACAAATGCCGAGAGTTTACCACACCTCGAGGGCGGAGAGCCACCAGGCTTGGTTTCCGATGCCGCCTGTCGAACTTTCGAGATGTTGAGAGGTTCGCGAACACTAATAACGGGACGCCGGTAGCCGGGCGAGGAGGACGGCGCGGGGCAGAGCCGAGGAAAGGAGGGGCGGTTCCCGCGGGCTCCAGGTAGGAAGTGGGGAGGGAGCCCCAAGGTCAAGCCCGCAGTGCCCAGGACAAAGCTGGTTAATGTCGCGGGGCTGCGTCTACCGCGGCTCAGCTCGTCAGGTCTTGGAAGGTATTTGAAGACGTTGCAGTCACCCAGTTACTAAACCACGCCAGCCATGCCCGACAATGCAGAGGGAGCAAAGTTATTTACAAGGTTCTTTGGAGCCCGCTCCCATTTTACATTTCATTTAACAAACCCCTTCTTGGTTGTCAGCAGAGCAGAAAAACCGTCTAATGATTTGGGTTCTGCCCTCAAGGGCCTTTCAACCAAGAGGGCATAATGTTGGTTTGAGCAAACTGAGTTTTTATTTTGAAGTTATTGATCTTATTTGTGGAAAGGGGTTTAGAATTAGTTCTTAAGTCTCCCCAAGTAAGGTAACAGCTCCCCAAAGTAAAAGTTTTAATACAATGTGAGGATGAGTTAAGGAAGAGAAAATGCGAGGTTAGGGAAAAGGGCTAGTCATTAAGTGGGAAAGCGGCTTCCTTAAGGCCACACAAACATGGTTAAAAGGAGTTAAAAATTTAGAGGGTGGGGCAAGCACAGGCTATTTGAACGAAATGGTGAGCTTTATTTTTGTTTCATTTTGCCATTCTTCGCACGTAACAAGCCGGTAGCTCTTTAAAGTTATATAGTGTCTCCGAGAGTTAAAAAAAATACTATTTCTGTGAGAGGCGGGGGAGATGTGTCGCACCCCTCCCCCGAAGTTTATGGAAAGAACCTTGTAAATTAGACTAAGAGGAAAGGGCCTTCATTTTATTCGCACTGTCTTATTTTATAGGGTGGCAAGTCAGGCGTTTATTATCTGCAGAGGTCACTGTCGTGGCCATCACTGCACTGTGGTGGAATCCTGGCCCCTTGGTGTAACCCCTTCCTGATGCACCCTCTTCCAAAACAGCCAGCCAGATAAGAGTGACGCGTTCCAGGAGGGCCAAGATGTTTCTTGATTTCTGGCCCTCTTACTTGTGATAGAAATCCACACAGAGCTAATGTAAGCAAGTGGCATATATTACGGTGATACAGGAGTGTCCCGCGGAAACCATGGAGGAGTGGTAACTAAGCCTCCTTGTGGTTTTCCCCAGCGCCTCTCAGCTTCTCTCTCTGCTTCTCTAGTGCACACAGTTGGAAACATGGTGCTGCACCCCTCCATCCCCACTACCCTAAAAATTCCTGACCTTTATCCCTTAGTCTATTGCCGAAAATTGAATATTTAGCCCCTCCGCCTGGCCCCAAATTTATATGTTGAAAACCTAATGCCCAACTGATGGTATTAGGAGGTGGAGCCTATGGGAAGTGAGTAAGTCGTGATGTCACAGCCCTCATGAATGGAATTAGTGCCCTTATGAAAGAGGCCTCAGAGAGATGCCTCCTCTCTTCCAGTCATGTGAGCATACGGTGAGAAGGGTTGGACACATATGATTGCATCCCTCTTTCCTAGGATGCCAGTGAAAGATAATAAAGATATACAAGAAGAAAAAGTCTCCTGCCACATGGAAAACAAAGTAGGTACAATCAGCAAACCTGAGCTTTAAAATAATTTCTGGGATTGTGGAAAGCAAGTGAGATTGAATAGATACATGGCCCAAAATGGAGAAAATCACAGCTCAGAATACACGTTCTAGAAGCTTGCAGAAACAACCATTTTCCCTATGGAGCTCCGAAGAGGCTTCAGGCACAGAGGCAGCAGCTCAGAGGTCGGAGGCCCACAACAATGTGCAGCTGCTGCAGCCTTTGCCCCAGCTGGAGCTACCTGGAGAACTGCTTAAGCAGAGTAGATTTGCCTGGGGAGAGCCTATGGGGTGAGTATAGGGCTGGGGAGAGAGGCAGAGTAGAGCCTAATAATAAGAGACCTGGAGAGAAAGAAAGGCTGCCCCACCCCACTCGCAATTAAGTTGGCAGTTTGGAGCATCTTGGGCCAGCACCATAGAAATGAAAAACCCTGCTTATCCCCAGGACCCAGGCATTTTACAAACCCCAATCAACGTAGTCCTTGATTCATGAATATGAACATATGTCTACCAGACATTTGAGAGGAAACAAAAACAACTTAAAGTCCAAGATGAACAAACAAAATAACTGATCCAGGAGGAAACAGATGGTGCAAGGAATAATACAAAACCACTTTTTAAAATGCTAATTGATATTCTCAGGGACGCCAGAACAAGGTGGTATTAAAAGGAGCGAGGAGAGAAAAGTTGACTTCTTGAAAACTAAGAGTGATTGCTAACGTGAAAAATAACACTGATTATGGCAAAAGATCAAATTTCGAGTTATAGAAGATAGAATGGAAAATATCTCCCAGGACACCAGAATAGAGAGAGCAGAAAATATACGCCTAAAAGCATGGCAGATAGACCCAGAAGACACAATGGCTATCTAGTCAGAGTTCCAGAAAGGGAAAACAGGGACAATGTAAGGAAAGGAATGTAAGAAAGACATTAGTTATTGAAAGGGGCATCCAAGTAGGATGAATGAAAAACAGCTGTGTCTGGACACAGCCTAGTGGAATTTTAAAGCATTGAGGATAAAGATGAAACCCCCAAAGCTTTCATAGATGGGGAAAAAACAAACAAAAAAACAGGCTAGCTACAAAGGAATTAGAATCAGATTATGATCAGATTTCTTATCAGAAATACTGGATGCTAGAATACAGTAGAGCAAGGCCTTCAAAGTTCTGTGGGGAAATAATTTTGAACCTAGAATTGTATAACCAATCAAAGTAGCAATCACATATGAGGACAAATAGATAATTCACACAAAGTCTCAAAGTTTAAATCCCGTGATTCCTTTCTGAAACAAATTTTTTAAAAAAATACCACTTGAGGTTCTTATAATGATTGATTTCTCCAGGAAGCAGAAGCTGACACAGAATTAGAGTACAAAAGTTTACTGGACGGTAACATCCGTGAACAGAAAAGGGGAAGACACAGTATTGGGTGGGGGTAGCCATCAGACAGTGACGCAGACCTGACAAAGTCTCTGCCAGCCCCCTTGGTAGCTGCAGAGCAGATTTCCCTTTAGTGGAGTCCTGAGTGGGGCAGAAATGGCTAGGCCCTTATACAGCCTCCTTGTCAGAAGCTGACAACCTTGGCCAGGAAACTGAGGTGAATCCTGAAGAAGTTAACACCAGGAGGCTCTCAGTTAACCATCCTTCTTGCAGCTGGGCAGTGAGTCCTTTCTGGAAAGGCAGTCTAGGAGCAAATACTCTGTGTCTGCCACAGATGTACTTCATCAAAACAAGAATCCAAGAAAGAGGAGTACCCAGGATTTAAAAAGAAGAAAGGGACCAACTCAGGAACTCAACGTAAATCCCAGATTAACAGTGATGCAACAAGCCAAGAAAGCAATCAGGACGAATTAGGAAAAAACAGAAGAGGTCAGAGGGCTCAAGGAAGATGATCTTTGAAGAAGAAAATGGATTCTTTCACAGTGAACGTGACGAAGGACCAGGAAGAACTTAGGGATGTGATAAAGGCATGTTGATTTTCTCAGAAAGCAAACCAAAACTAGGAATTTCTAAAAAAGTACATAGAGCTTCATAAAAAACTCATGGTCCAAATATACGGCAAACTGAAAACTGGCATGATTTTGAGAAATTGATGACCTGTGTTGTGGGCTAACGTATGCCCCCCCCCCCCACTTATATTGAACCTCGAACTTTCAGAATGTGACTATACTTGGAGATAGGGCCTTTAAAGAGACAATTAAAATGGGGTTGTTAGCGTGGGTCCTCATCCACTTTGACTAGTGTCCTTATAAGATGAGGATATAGGGAGAGGGAGAGACACCAGACACACAGACAACCACGTGAACACACGGCAAGAAGGCACGCACCTGCAAGCCCGGGAGAGAGGCCTCAGAAGAAACCAGGCCTGCTGACATCTTTATCTTGGACCTCTTGCCTCCACAACGGTGAGAAAACAAACTGTTGTTTAAGCCACCCAGTCCTTGGTATTTTGTTATGGTAACCCTAGCAAACGAATACAGGCACGGTGAGGAAAGAGAAGTTTGCTTTCTTTTCTGCATCCATTGGTATGGTTTCCATGTTTGTTTGACCACATGCAAACACTTGTGGGGCAGAGAGTCCCATAGTTGTCATCTAATACAGCATTTAATAACAGTTGCATTTATTTATTTGTTTATTTGGTAGTGTTTGTAAATGCTTGGCATTCTCGTTATTAGCAATAGTGTTTTTGCATTCTTTTTTTTGAATTTTTGAAGTTATTTTATTATTTTTTATACAGCAGGTTGTTATTGGTTATCTATTTTATACATACTAGTGACTACATGTCAATCCCACTCTCCCAACTCATCCCACCACCACCACCCCCAACACTTGCCCCCGCTTTCCCCCCTTGGTGTCCATACGTTTGTTCTCTACATCTGTGTCTCTGTTTCTGCCGTGCAAACCGGTTCATCTGTACCATTTTCCTAGGTTCCACATACATGCGTTAATATACAATATTTGTTTTTCTATTTCTGACTTACTTCACTCTGTATGACAGTCTCTAGATCCATCCACGTCTCTACAAATGACCCAGTTTCGTTCCTTCTTATGGCTGAGTAATATTCCATTGTATATATGTACCACATCTTCTTTATCCATTCATCTGTCAATGGGCATTTAGGTTGCTTGCATGACCTGGCTATTGTAAATATAGTGCTGCAGTGAACACTGGGGTGCATGTGTCTTTTTTTTTTTTTTTTTTTTTTTGCGGTACGCGGGCCTCTCACCGCTGTGGCCTCTCCCGTTGCGGAGCACAGGCTCCGGACACGCAGGCTCAGCGGCCATGGCTCACAGGCCCAGCCGCTCCGCGGCATGTGGGATCCTCCCAGACTGGGTCACGAACCCGTGTTCCCTGCATCGGCAGGTGGACTCTCAACCACTGCGCCACCAGGGAAGCCCCATGTGTCTTTTTGAATTATGGTTTTCTCAGGGTATATGCCCGGTAGTGGGATTGCTGGGTCATATGATAATTCTATTTTTAGATTTTTAAGGAACCTCCATACTGTTCTCCATAGTGGCTGTATCAATTTACATTCCCACCAATAGTGCAAGAGGGGTCCCTTTTCTCCACACCCTCTCCAGCATTTGTTGTTTGTAGATTTTCTTATGTGCCCATTCTAACTGGTGCAAGGTGATACCTCATTGTAGTTTTGATTTGCATTTCTCTAATGATTAGTGATGTTGAGCAGCTTTTCATGTGCTTCTTGGCCATCTGTATATCTTCTTTGGAGAAATGTCTATTTAGGTCTTCTGCCCATTTTTGAATTGGGTTGTTTGTTTTTTTAATATTGAGCTGCATGAGCTGTTTATATATTTTGGAGATTAATCCTTTGTCTGTTGACTCATTTGCAAATATTTTCTCCCGTTCTGAGGGTTGTCTTTTCATCTTGTTTATAGTTTCCTTTGCTGTACAAAAGCTTTTAAGTTTCATTAGGTCCCATTTGTTTATTTTTTTTTCCCATTACTCTAGGAGATGGGTCAAGAAAGATCTTGCTGTGATTTATGTCCAAGAGCGTTCTTCTTATGTTTTCCTCTAAGAGTTTTATAGTGTCTGGTCTTACATTTAGGTCTTTAATCCATTTTGAGTTCATTTTTGTGTATGGTGTTAGGGAGTGTTCTGATTTCATTCTTTTACATGTAGCTGTCCAGTTTTCCCAGCACCACTTATTGAAGAGGCTGTCTTTTCTCCATTGTATATCCTTGCCTCTTTTGTCATAGATTAGTTGACCATAGGTGTGTGGGTTTATCTCTGGGCTTTCTATCCTGTTCCATTGATCTATATTTCTGTTTTTGTGCCTGTACCATATTGTCTTGATTACTGTAGCTTTGTAGTATAGTCTGAAGTCAGGGAGTCTGATTCCTCCAGCTCTGTTTTTCTTTCTCAAGATTGCTTTTGCTATTTGGGGTCTTTTGTGTCTCCATACAAATTATAAGATTTTTTGTTTTAGTTCTGTAAAAAATGCCGCGGGTAATTTTATAGGGATTGCATTCAATCTTTAGTTTGCTTTGGGTAGTATAGTCATTTTCACAACATTGATGCTTCCAATCCAAGAACATGGTATATCTCTCCATCTGTTTGTGTCATCTTTGATTTCTTTCATCAGTGTCTTACAAGTTTTTAAAAAATTTTATTTATTTATTTTGGCTGCGTTGGGTCTTTGTTGCTGCGCGTGGGCCCTCTCCAGTTGCGGCGAGCAGTGGCCACTCTTCGCTGTGGTGCACGGGCTTTTCATCATGGTGGCCTCTCTTGTTGCGGAGCATGGCTCTAGGCACACGGCTCTAGGTACATGGGCTTCAGTAGCTGTGGTGCACGGGCCTAGTTGCTCCACAGCATCCTCCCGGACCAGGGCTCGAACCTGTGTCCCCTGCATTGGCAGGTGGACTTAACCACTGTGTCACCAGGGAAGCCTGTCTTATAGTTTTCTGAGTACAGGTCTTTTACCTCCTGAGGTAGGTTTATTCTTAGGTATTTTATTCTTTTTGTTGCAATGGTAA